AAAATCAACAACCAATTATCTAGCGGTGCAACGCGCCGAGAAAAAATGCCCCACCAAATCCGGCTGGCCCAAAAAAGCATACCAGTCCGGGGGCTCGCCTAAGCCTAAGCCTAAGCCTAAGCCTAAGCCTAAGCCTAAGCCTAAGCTTAAGCCTAAGCCTAAGCCTAAGCCTAAGCCTAAGCCTAAGCCTAAGCCTAAGCCTAAGCCTAAGCCTAAGCCTAAGCCTAAGCCTAAGCCTAAGCCCAAGCCTAAGCCTAAGCCCAAGCCTAAGCCTAAGCCTAAGCCTAAGCCTAAGCCTAAGCCTAAGCCTAGCCTAAGCCCCCCAAGCCTCAAGCCTAAGCCTAAGCTGAGGGTCAATCGTTGGCCTACTCAGTGGAAAGCTTTGGGAACCCCCTCCACACTAGTGGGCCAGGTGGGGGGCGGGTGCGAAGCAAGCAGTGAAGCCCGCCCTGCGATTCCGCTACGAAATAGCGTCCGGGATGCGGAAACGCCCGATTTGGCTGAATTGAGGATTAGCGGTCTTCGAGCTGCTGTTGCGCCAAGGAGCGATGTGACGGCCGAGCCAGTTAGCAACCCGGAATCAGCGTTTCAAAGCGCTTCGACTGGTCTGCCACATTGATCGGAAGCGCGGCCCGTTTTTGAAAAAATCCATGTGGTCCCCCCTTTAGTCGTAAACCATCAAAACCAAAAGTTTCAAAAAATCGTAGCAATTAAACCAGGGCCTCCGGGGCTTTGGAAAAAACGGTTTTTGGTACTATTTTTGGTGCTCTTTCAAGTGCACACATCAAAGCGATTTCGCACGGTCGATTTCTCGCGGAATCGGGCTTGGAAGGCCTGGTCGACGAGGGCTGCCTAGTTGCTACATTCAAAAAATCGTAGCAATTAAACCAGGGCCTCCGCGGCTTCGGAAGAAACGGTTTTTGGTACTATTTTTGGTGCTCTTTCAAGTGCACACATCAAAGCGATTTAGCACGGTCGATTTCTCGCGGAATCGGGCTTGGAAGGCCTGGTCGACGAGGGCTGCCCAGTTGCGACATTCAAAAAATCCTAGCAATTAAACCAGGGCCTCCGGGGCTTCGGAAGAAACGGTTTTTGGTACTATTTTTGGTGCTCTTTCAAGTGCACACATAAAGCGATTTCGCACGGTCGATTTCTCGCGGAATCGGGCTTGGAAGGCCTGGTCGACGAGGGCTGCCCAGTTGCGACATTCAAAAAATCCTAGCAATTAAACCAGGGCCTCCGGGGCTTCGGAAGAAACGGTTTTAGGTACTATTTTGGTGCTCTTTCAGGTGCACACATCAAAGCGATTTCGCACGGTCGATTTCTCGCGGAATCGGGCTTCGGAAGGCCTGGTCGACGAGGGCTGCCATAGTTGCGACATTCAAAAAATCCTAGCAATTAAACCAGGGCCTCGGGGCTTCGGAAGTAACTGTTTTTCGGTACTATTTTTCGTGCTCTTTCAGCTCCACATCGAAGTGCGTGATGAATTTCTCGAAATTTTTTTGGTAAATTCCGAAAAAGTCCATGTGGTCCCCCCTTTAGTCGTAAACCATCAAAACCAAAAGTTTCAAAATCGTAGCAATTAAACCAGGGCCTCGGGGCTTCGGAAGAAACGGTTTTCGGTACTATTTTTGGTGCTCTTTCAAGTGCACACATCAAAGCGATTTCGCACGGTCGATTTGTTGCGGAATCGGGCTTGGAAGGCCTGGTCGACGAGGGCTGCCTAGTTGCTACATTCAAAAAATCGTAGCAATTAAACCAGGGCCTCCGGGGCTTCGGAAGAAACGGTTTTCGGTACTATTTTTGGTGCTCTTTCAAATGCTTACACATCAAAGCGATTTCGCACGGTCGTTTTGTTGCGGAATCGGGCTTGGAAGGCCTGGTCGACGAGGGCTGCCTAGTTGCGACATTCAAAAAATCGTAGCAATTAAACCAGGGCCTCGGGGGCTTCGGAAAAAACGGTTTTCGGTACTCCTTTTGGTGCTCTTTCAGCTCCGCATCGAAGTGCGTGATGAATTTCTCGAAATTTTTTTGGTAAATTCCGAAAAAATCCATGTGGTCCCCCCTTTAGTCGTAAACCATCAAAACCAAAAGTTTCAAAAAATCGTAGCAATTAAACCAGGGCCTCCGGGGCTTTGGAAGAAACGGTTTTCGGTACTATTTTTGGTGCTCTTTCAAGTGCACACATCAAAGCGATTTCGCACGGTCGATTTCTTGCGGAATCGGGCTTGGAAGGCCTGGTCGACGAGGCGGCCTAGTTGCGACATTCAAAAAATCCTGGCAATTAAACCAGGGCCTCCGGGGCTTCGGAAGTAACTGTTTTCGGTACTATTTTTCGTGCTCTTTCAGCTCCACATCGAAGTGCGTGATGAATTTCTCGAAATTTTTTTGGTAAATTCCGAAAAAATCCATGTGGTCCCCCTTTAGTCGTAAACCATCAAAACCAAAAGTTTCAAAAAATCGTAGCAATTAAACCAGGGCCTCCGGGGCTTTGGAAGAAACGGTTTTCGGTACTATTTTTGGTGCTCTTTCAAGTGCACACATCAAAGCGATTTCGCACGGTCGATTTCTTGCGGAATCGGGCTTGGAAGGCCTGGTCGACGAGGGCGGCCTAGTCGCGACATTCAAAAAATCCTGGCAATTAAACCAGGGCCTCCGGGGCTTCGGAAGTAACTGTTTTCGGTACTATTTTTCGTGCTCTTTCAGCTCCGCATCGAAGTGCGTGATGAATTTCTCGAAATTTTTTGGTAAATTCGAAAAATCCATGTGGTCCCCCCTTTAGTCGTAAACCATCAAAACCAAAAGTTTCAAAAAATCGTAGCAATTAAACCAGGGCCTCCGGGGCTTTGGAAGAAACGGTTTTCGGTACTATTTTTGGTGCTCTTTCAAGTGCACACATCAAAGCGATTTCGCACGGTCGATTTGTTGCGGAATCGGGCTTGGAAGGCCTGGTCGACGAGGGCTGCCTAGTTGCTACATTCAAAAAATCGTAGCAATTAAACCAGGGCCTCCGCGGCTTCGGAAGAAACGGTTTTTGGTACTATTTTTGGTGCTCTTTCAAGTGCACACATCAAAGCGATTTCGCACGGTCGATTTGTTGCGGAATCGGGCTTGGAAGGCCTGGTCGACGAGGGCTGCCTAGTTGCTACATTCAAAAAATCGTAGCAATTAAACCAGGGCCTCCGGGGCTTCGGAAGTAACTGTTTTCGGTACTATTTTTCGTGCTCTTTCAGCTCCGCATCGAAGTGCGTGATGAATTTCTCGAAATTTTTTTGGTAAATTCCGAAAAAATCCATGTGGTCCCCCCTTTAGTCGTAAACCATCAAAACCAAAAGTTTCAAAAAATCGTAGCAATTAAACCAGGGCCTCCGGGGCTTTGGAAGAAACGATTTTCGGCACTATTTTTGGTGCTCTTTCAGGTGCACACATCAAAGCGATTTCGCACGGTCGATTTCTCGCGGAATCGGGCTTGGAAGGCCTGATCGACGGGGGCGGCCTAGTTGCGACATTCAAAAAATCCTGGCAATTAAACCAGGGCCTCCGGGGCTTCGGAAGAAACGGTTTTCGGTAGCAAAAAATACGCGCACAGATATATCTGGTTGATCTAGGGGGGGGTCGATATTATTGCGAAATTCGTCGTAAAAAAGGGTCCCATTCAAGGCCGGGTCTCAGCAGATCGCAGCTCAGGTAGATGCTAGAGCTACTCTACGTACGGGAGGGCAGGTTGAGGGTGGAGCATCAGCCACGACACCTCCTGGGGGACCACCACCCTATTCTAACTAAGGTAGCCGGCGCCGTTCCGGAAATCTCTCGGTGTAGTGCTTAGGCTAGGGCTGCTATGGACGGCTAACTTCGTAGCCCGATCCAACAAAAATCAACAACCAATTATCTAGCGGTGCAACGCGCCGAGAAAAAATGCCCCACCAAATCCGGCTGGCCCAAAAAAGCATACCAGTCCGGGGGCTCGTCCTAAGCCTAAGCCTAAGCCTAAGCCTAAGCCTAAGCCTAAGCCTAAGCCTAAGCCTAAGCCTAAGCCTAAGCCTAAGCCTAAGCCTAAGCCTAAGCCTAAGCCTAAGCCTAAGCCTAAGCCTAAGCCTAAGCCTAATCCCGGTTCCAATTAGGAAACGAAAATCCTCAAATTTGACGGTCATCAATATATCGCAGACGCGGGCAGATGCTTATCAGTAGTTATCAGGGCGTGAACTTTCACAAAATTTGACCGTCTGCGGTTATTTTATCGAATGAAGTCGGCTGGTTTGCCCAAAACTTCTTTAAAAAAGGGGGATGTATCGTTTTTAGAAGACAGCCAATTTTATAAAATAGCTTTCTTTCTTTCTGTCTGTCTCTTTCTCTCTCTCTCTCTCTCTCTCTCTCTCTCTCTCTCTCTCACACTCTCTCTCTCTCTCGCTCTCTCCCTGCCTCCCTCCCTCTGTCGCTCTAAATGCCGCAGCAATTTGGAAAAGTGTCATGAAGGTCTTTCGTTCAAAAACGTTATCGCTCATACCTTCCAGAATTGAATGGAAAAGGAGAAGCGTCGAATTTTTGGCTGCATCTCCCCAAAGGATCTCTGCTAGCCTACCCCGACTTCAAAATGTCCTATGATCTCCGAGATTGCATCGAACCCCGGGATCCTCGTCCACTTTCGTAGACGTCGATTTTTGCAACAACGAAACGGTTGACTAAAATTTTGGCGGGATTTGGCACGAGCGCTGGGGGATTCTCGATTCGATCGGCGCTTATCGCCCGTCACCAGGTACAAAATGTCCCGGTGATATCCTCACATCATTGACATTGCCTAATATTTTGCCATGTGTAAAAATGGGGTATTTCCTCGTCGGTACTATCCTCACAGAACCGACTTTTTCTTTTTATTGATTTTTAGCTTTTATTTTATAAATTTTCCCGAATTTTGCATGAATTTATGTAGCTCCAGAGCTGTCGGCATTGTGTTTTTCATTGCTGCGTCTTCACTGAAACTCCATGATCTATAGTTTCAGAAAATGCGACATTTTCTACTACCTCTCCTATTCTGTGCCATATCTACCGTATCCATAGCTCACAAGATTCTCGTCTTTTCACCGACAATCTCCGCCTCGCACATGATCTCGAATGGGCGGATCGCCGACGAGTTGGCCAAGGCCGGCCATGATGTGGTGAGCTCGAGATTTGAATTTTTGTCTTTAAAGGAACAGAGAAGCGGCGGAGTCTACCCCTATCCTCTACTAGGCCTAGACAGTGCTTTAAAGGGGCCTTGAAGGCATAAATTCCACATTTCTCTAGGTGCTCTTCGAGCCGGACTTGTTGAACATGTGGCACCGGGTGAAGAATGCGAAGCTGGCCCGGAAGTGGCCTGTTTTTGGGTTCAGCGACAAGCTGAGCAAGGCCGTGAGTGGGTTTTCGTCGGCGTTTGATGACGAGAGTACTATTACGGTAGGTAGGGGAGAGCGAGAGCGAGCGAGAGAGTGAGAGAGAATCAGAAACGCTAATTTTTTTCCTTTAGTACACCGGCAACATGATCAGCTACTCAAAGGCCTTCACCGCGCAGTGCGGAGGTAAAGTATCCAATCAGGATTTTCTGAACTTGCTTAAGAGCTTCTTGACAAAGTCGAGGAACTCGAAAAACTCAAGGCCGAGAAGTTCGACGCATTTTTCGGGGAGCAGCTGAATGGATGCGGACACGGACTAGCGGAATATCTGGGGATCAAGCGAAAATTCTGGATATCGAGGTACGCTTTCTCTTTCTCTCTCTCTCTCTCTCTCTCTCTCTCTCTCTCTCTCTCTCTCTCGCTAATCCCTCTTTTTCAGTTGCCCTATAATGGATCATATGTCATGGATTATCGGTCTTCCCCACCCACTTTCATATCTACCTTCCGTCGGAAATGTCGATTTTGGCGATCGTCCAAATTTCTATCAACGATTCCAGGTAGGTTCAGGGTATTGGCGAGGCCCCTTTAACGCTCATTTTTTTAGAATATCGTCGAGTACCTGGCCAGTCAGGTCGGTTTCGGCTACGACGCACACTACGGACCCTTGGATCAAGAATTTCAGAAGCGATTCGGGTAAGTTTTTCAGGTTTCGGAGAGCTATGGTGTCATATCGGGAGTGAGATGGAGAGAGAGAGAGCGAGAGAGTGCGAGCGAGAGAGAGTGAGAGAGAGTGTGGGAGAGAAAGGTGGTTGGGCACGCTGGAGTGGCCTTTGAGGAGCCGTCGCAAAAAAGGCATGATTTTAGACCCGATTTCCCGTCCATCACCTCGATTGAACGCTCCTCTGACGTCATCTTCGTTTCTACCGATGAGCTGATCGATTTCCCGAGGCCGATATTCCCTAATATCATCCATATCGGAGGCCTGGGGATGGAAGATGAGATCGTGAAGCCGTTGGATGAGGTGAGAGCGAGAGATAAAGAGATATAGAGAGAGAGAGACCGAGCTTGAGCGAGAAACTATTTCGAGTTCCAGCAATTCGCTCTCGAAATGGAGAAAGGAAAAGACGGAGTGGTCTTCTTCTCGTTCGGCTCGAATGTGAATACTTCTCAACTACCTGCGGAAGTCATGAAGACCCTCTTCGACGTCGTCAAGACGTTCCCGGATCATCACTTCATCGCAAAAATTGACAGATACGACAAGGTATGGCAAACATTTCAGCCAGCCATTCAAACCGAATTTTTAGGTATCACCGACATTCGCGGCGGGAGCCACAAATGTATTCCTGACCGAATGGGCACCCCAGAGCACTTTATTGAGTGAGTATTCAATGCACCCTAAGCCTATGTCTAAGCCTAAGCCTAAGCCTAAGCCTAAGCCTAAGCCTAAGCCTAAGCATAAGCCTAAGCCTAAGCCTAAGCCTAAGCCTAAGCCTAAGCCTAAGCCTAAGCCTAAGCCTAAGCCTAAGCCTAAGCCAAGCCCAAACCTAAACTCTCTTTCAGAACACCCACGTCTAAAATGCATGATCGCTCACGGTGGCTACAATTCTACAGGGTGGCCCGAAAGAGTGGTGACCGCAGCTTGCACACAGAATTTCTCTGTTCCCTTATGGGTTTGGGCAAGGCGGGGTTATGGATTCTGTTTCCTATAGATGTTGGCTAAATTTGAGCATACGCTCAGCGCACAACGCAATCTAGCTTTTACATTAGGAATTTAATTCCATAATTCAAAGTCATGGATTTTTTGAAATCGACCAAAACGAAAATAAATTCCTGTGGAAGAAAATACTTAACGATGCCTTTTCCATCTCGTTAACGAGCGTGCCTGACGTTTCCGGTGAAGCTCGTGGTGCAGCTATGGCTCAGAACCCTCCAATTTGGTCAAGTGACTGAGGCCCGTTATTAAGGGTTTGAACCAAACCGTTTTTTGCTCGCCAAAAGAGCCATCCTGCAGCCCTAACTTGAACCCGCAGAATTTTTTTGTGTAGCCGGTCTGAAAGGCCAAAGTGTTGGCTACTCCCGATTCAATTTTGGGTTCGCTCGCGAAAGTCTTCATCGAGTTATGAGCCGAATTCGGGCTGAGTGTCTGCGTGCCAGCACCTCCGTTTTCCATCCGCTTCCGCGCCAGTTTTTCCAAGTTTGAGGCAAACAAATAAAAAAGTGGTTATACCATGTGGAAGATAATTGTTTAAGGAATATAATGTGTTAAAATGAGCTTTCCTCGATCTATAGTTTTTCAGAAAATCGAAAAAGTTTCGGTCACCACTCTTTCGGGCCACCCTGTATTATTGAGTGTGATTAGGTATTTGGTTTCACAAATTGCTACCCCAACATCGGTCGGAAAGAGGAAGAAGGCTGAATAAAGGAATTCGGTTTCTCTCTCTGTCGTTATCCTTTTCTCTTTCTTTCGCTCTCGCTCACTCTCCCTCTCTCCCTCTCTGTCGCTCTCTCTCTCGTATGCTCTCTCTCACTCTCTCTCTCTTCCTCTCGCTCACTCTCCCTCTCTGTCTCTCTCGCGCTCTCTCTTTCTCTCTTTTTTCTCAAAATCCAAGATGATCCCGATTACGAATGATTTGCAATGCCCGCGGCTGAGAGAAAAGTTTCGATCTTTTCCCCTGATCCAAATTTTTTTTGCTGTATTGCGCTTATTAAATAAATATAAACAAACTTTATTGAGAATTTACGAATGTTATTGCGAATTGCGTCAAATTTTGGTACCCTTCTAATTCCCCCCGCGTAACCGAATCGCCACAAACTACAAACAGCAGCGACACAACGGACAAATATAGCCTTGAAATATTACCCGGACAAAAGGACATTACACTATTGATCACAACGTATTTTTTTTTGTTTATAGTAACAATTAATTTTTATGAATTTTTATATGGTTTTGCTATTGAAATTTTTGCTTTAGTGCAAGTCAGCTTGCAAAAGATTTCTAAGATACAAAAATTTGAACATAAAAATACTAACTAAACATAATCTTTCACTTTTTCTTGCATTTAAGAATACACTGATTTAACCAAAATACCCAGTATTTAATCTTAATCCTACTATATATAAAAAAATAGTGTTTGTGTGTGTGTGTGTGTGTGTGTGTGTATATTTGCATGCACTTCCGTTAGGATGTTCCGCTCCTACAGCCTCGGGGAAGGGTTTTTTGGATAGGGAAGAAACGACAATAGGTTTAGAATGGTCCGGAATCGACTGCACACACATAAAAATTTTGAAAAATTGCGGTTTTCGCTATTAAAAATAGGTTTTTGTAAAACCCTGTTTGTTAGGGGAAATTACCATACGCCGGAAGTTGGAAGAGCCTATATAAAGGGACAGAGGAGCCGTTTTTCACTTTTTTCTTGCTAAAATTCAGGAAGAAACATGCAAATTAAGGACTTTCACAGGTCCTGGACGGGGCCAGGGTTGAAAAGCCGCGAAGCGGTTTTTTCAACCCTGGTTTTGAAACTATCTATTTCAGAAAATGAGCAGTCACAGCGGATCAGACTACCTGAAATTGGCCGGGCTGGTGGCTGGTGGGCTGGTTGTTGGGTATTTTGTAGGTTTTCTTGATTTAAGTGAAGGAAATTGTTGCAAAAATGTATTTAAAACTCTAAAAAACTTTAAAATGAATTTAGGTCGGCGCATTTGTGGGCCGGAAAAACGCGCGGGCAAATCGGATGATAAAGCTTGATTGTGAAAAGGTAGATTCAAGGACTTCTCGCATTTTCTGGTTTGTTCCCTCTCTGATCTCAATTGCTTATGCAATGGCGCTTGGTGTGTAAATAAATAAACAATAATAAATATCTCTCTCACTCTCTCCCGATAGCGCTCTCTGTCTCTCTCTCTCTATCTCTATCTCTTTCTATTTATCTCTCTCACTCGCTCGCTCTCTCTCTCTCTCTTTCTCTCGTGCTCTCTCGCTCTCCCGCTAGCCAACGTTCTCGATCTCTGGCTGGGTGCGTTATTGCGATGAAGCGAAGAGAAAGAAAAGCGTGAGAAAGGGAGAGTGCCAGATTGAGAGAGAGAGATATAGCGAGAGCGAGGGAGAGAGAGAGAGAGAGAGAGAGAGAGAGAGAGAGAGAGAGAGAGAAAGAGAGAGAGCAAGAGTGAAAGAGAGCCAAAATTCTTTTTTTTGAGGTTGTGGACACGATTGACCTCTCCGAAATCCAACGAAAACCCAACGGCCAATGGCGAACGTTTTGCCGATGCTGGAAGTCGAAGAATGTCGGTAGTTTTTCTAAGAGCTCGACGCCTTCCAACGGCTAGGTCTAGACAGCGACGTTCCGCTCCAAATGACGCATAGTGTCTCATTTTTGTAGCGCTGCCCAAAGCGAGTTTCGCGGTAATTTGAGCCGCTTTAAGCGTCATTTGCAGTCTTGCGTAGCTGTCGAGATCTAGTCTAATGAATGGGTCGATTCCGGCACTTCCGAGCCCCTTGAAAAATTTCTTCTGTATTTCAAGAGGGCCTGTTTTTTTAGTGGCCCTACTGCGACAACGCGCACAAGGAGCATAATTCGCGGTGCGGCGACAACGTGGCCCAGCTGCGAATTCTGGAGTCGAAGAAATAGCTCAAAGATGTTTTATTGTGTTTATATGAATAAATATATGCACAGTTCGATCAATAAATCGATAAATACAAAAAACCCAAATAAATATAAAATTCGAATAAATTAAGGCTGGTCCCTGGCCTCGCGTCGGTGCCCAGGAATTAGTCGGAGTCCTGAAAAAGCGTTTTTTTTAGTCTGTTTTCGGGGTTACTACGACAGAGTACGACTGAGTTTAATTTTTCCCCACGGGCTTACAAAAACCGCTTGGAGGAACGATTTTGGCTTCGAAAAAGACGAAAAAAGGGCGGCAACAATCGAATCACGTTACGAACTTGCACTTTTGCGTTTTTATGGAACTTGCGGAATTAGGTGTCTTTTCTTTTTGGCATAAAAAATGGAGGGGAACTCTGAATTTTTACTCTACACGTGCGAGAGAGTGAGATAGAGAGACAGAGAGTGAGAGACAGAGAGAGACACAGAAAGATAGAGAGAGTGTGAGAGAGAATTAAGCGAGAGTGAGAGAAAGAGAGAGAGAGATCTAGCTATAGCTCACCTCATTATCTTCATCAGAAGTCAGCCCGGAGTTGTCCTGAAGCGGAAATCGTCATAAAATTACAAAAATGGCAAATATACCTTCACTGCGGCTTCTAGGTCGGCCAGCTCGTCCTGCTCGTGCTCCTCGGTGTCTTTTTCGATGATGTCTTCGATCTAAAAGCCGATGTTATTATCGCTTTCTCTCTCTCTCTCTCTCTCTCTCTCTCTCTGTCTCTCTCTGTCTGCCCCCCCCCTCTCTCACTCTCACTTACATCAAATCGGTCATCATCCTCCAATTTGTCCAAAATCGCATACTGTTGGACTCGTAGGGCCCGGATCTCGCTGAGAGCCTTCTGACCGGCAGCGGACAGCGTTGTCTATATTTTTTTATTGAATTTAAATAGTTTTTAACCTTCATCATATGAATCCAGACTCTAAAAGTAAAAATTTAATAACCTCGTCCTCCTCGGCGTGGATGTGGACGGCCAGGAGGAGGCAGATGAGGGTGAGGGCTTTGAACATCATTCTGAATATATATGATTTTAAGGGGGTAAAAAGCGAGAGAGAGAATGAAAGAGAGACATATCAAGAGAGAAGAGAGCAGGGAGAATGAGAGAGAGAGACACAGGGAAAGAAAGAGAGAGAGAGAGAGAGAGAGAGAGAGAGAGAGAGAGAGAGAGAGAGAGAGAGAGAGAGAGAGAGAGAGAGAGAGAGAGAGAGAGAGAGAGGGGAATTGAGTGGGCGAGAGAGTCGCGTGAGAGTGATGGAGTGAGAGAGAAGGAGAGCGTAGGTGAGAGAGTGAGAGTGGGGAGAGAGATACAGAGAAACAGCGAGTGAGAGAGAAACACAAAAATTTGCCAGCTACCAAGTATTTTTGAGTTATTAAATGCTTATAGTAAAAAAGTAAGTGATCAAAAAAGCGAAAAATTTAGCAATAAAAACAAGGCAGTACTCGCCTAATGGAAAGTCGTGGGAACGGTCACGGCTACCTTCGGCTGTTTGCCGCTTCTTATAGGGGGGTTGAGGGTGGGTGGTGTTGGACTGGATGTGATCGTTTCTTGAGGCACAGTTCCGCCCGACGCCTCTTTACGCCCATCTTTCGCCGGCTGGCAGGATGGAGCTGGCATGGCTTGCGTACCATAGGTTCGTCTCTTTCGCTCATCTATCTCTCTCTCTCTCTCTCTCTCTCGCCTTCTGCTTGCTTTATGTTCTCGAAAACCTTGGGAACCTGCAGATTTGTAGGGCGGATAAGAGAACCGAAAGCCGTCGGCACATTAAGGACCGCAGAAAAATCGTTTCCTCCGCGCTTGGTGATCTTTGCTGAGCCAGGAACTTCCTGGGGACCAGGAAGGCAGAATTTGCGATTTTTTGCTGCTTTGTGTAGTGGCTGCGATACGCATGTGCCAGGCCGTATCAGTGCCATTTTTCCTCATACTGTAGCTACAACTCAATTTAGACAATTTATTATGTCGTTGGGATTTGTGAGGGTCATTTTCGCCATAGGGTTCTTCGTTTCTAAGCATAGCAACTCTCCGTTGGCTCCTTCTCGAGGTCACACTCTGGCAGGGGTTTGACGCGGAAAAGCTTCTAAAGTAGGCTGCAGTGATTGGTTTGGCCTCGGCTTAATTTTAGGCTTAGTATGGAACGTAGGCTTAAGCTTATTAGGCTTAGGTTAGGCTTAGGCTTAGGCTTAGGCTTTGGTTTAGGCTGAGGCTTGGGTAGGCTTAGGTCTGGCTTTGGAATAGCCTTAGTCTTAGGCTTGAGCTTTGGCAGAGTTGGGCTTGGCCCGGCTTAGGCTTAGGCTTCGGCTCACTCTTAGCCTTACAACTTACCGCAACTGGAATCTCAGCGATCGGCTTATCATCAGTGACCAGCTCAACGCGGGCCTGGACCTCGTATTCGGCTTCGGTTGTAAAGACTGACTTCGCTTGGGGGTCCGGAGATTCGGCCAGGCTTGCTAAAAAATAAAAAATTGAATTCGTTCAGGTGACCAACCTAAACTAGGCTGCGGCACGACATCGACGGCTACTTCGGAAATATGGATCGAGCTCGTGATCGAACCTGGAAATTTCTATAGCTGGGTTATGGAATTGACATTGATCCAGAATACCGACAGCCGAAATACCGACATACTCTTGACGCTAGTTTGGATGCCGAATTTTTTGAAAAACAGCCATTTTACATGTCGGTATTAGGGTTGTCGGGATTTTGGCCTGTCGAGGGTTTGGTGGTCGGTATTTTGCCTGTCAGGATTATGGCGTTTTGATCCTATGCACCGGAATTTTTCAAAATTCCGATATGCGCCGTAAATTACACTACTATTTTAATTAAATAAATATCTATAAAAATATTATTATTACGGTAGGGAAAACGATTATTTAAAAAATTTTTTCTTGAATTTCGAAAGCATAAAAAATGCGCTAGTCTTACGTTAAATATCATATTTACGACCTTGCAGAAACACGGTTTTAGGCCAATTTTTCTGCCCTTTCTCTTTATTTTCTTACTCGCCCACGTTTTAAAAACTCCCAAAAATTCCGAAAATGTACGCAGAACTTCTAACGAACGGCGATTTTACCCCTTATTGTGAAACCCTCTTTAACGCCAATTACAGCCGTCAGAAATTTGCCCTTCATGCCAGTTAATTGGTGAGAAGCGGAATCTTTTTTGATGTGCTTTTTTGACGACGCGGAACTCTCGGAATCTAGGCTACACGCCGATACTCTGTACCCAAGGTACCGTAGGACTTTGCAAATTACGGGTGACATTTTTGTGCTCCGAAACTGACTCACTTCTTGCCGGCGAGGAAGGGGAATTTTCGTTTTGGATGGAGATTACGTCAGTGTGGGTGGCATCTGAAAACTATGGATTTTTTTAGGTTTAACGGGGCGAGGAAGGAAGCAAAACAGGTAGTTTCTGAATTAAAAAAAATTGAAAACCGGTACAGCGCTGTGGAATTTTTTTGCGGTATATCTTAGCTTTTAAATGGACCTGGCAGCGTGTCAAAAATCAATTGACGATTTTCCAATCCATAGCTGCGGTTTTTTAGATTTGAGATGGGGAAAATTTCGGCATTTCTCTCTCTCTCTCTCTCTCTCTCTCTCTCTCTCTCTCTGGCTCCCTTTCGCTCTCTCTCTTTCTATCTCTCTGGCTCTCTCTCGCTACCTCCAGACGGCCCTAGGAAAATATACATACACGTGACGCATCCGCAACGCGTTCTCTAGCCCGCACGGCATCAGGGACCTCAAAAATGAAGCTGAATTAACATACCATGCACCCGGTGCACTTTCCCACTTGGCGACGCCGCGGGGTTGGGGTTTTTCTTGGACTGCTGGACGTCGTAAGACTGCTTGTTGCCCATTTCTAGAAAATTTGCAGAATGCATTGCTGTCAATTTTTTAGACTTTACGAGGTTGTTGCCAAGTCAAATTAGGGAGAGTGCTAAACGCAAGAATAAACGTACACGATAGGTAATTAGAAACTACGTGTATACGTCATAAAAATTGAAGCCTGAAAAGTCGGGCATAAGCCTTTCGAAGCGCACAAAATTCGAAACGTTCGGGACCGGGCCGTCTGAGTGAATTACGATGTTTTCCTTTGCGACTAGCTGAATTGGTGATTCACCCCCAGAAAGGTGGGGGAGAAGCATTTCCGCCTGAGAGAGAGAGAGAGAGAGAGAGAGAGAGAGAGAGAGAACATAGAAGCAGAGTAAATGCGATCAGCTGGTGACCATATCGGCATATGAATCACAGTCACACGCCTTGAGCTAATAAAGCGTGTCGTTGAGATCGCTTTGGGCCTGGCAGGGCCGAATTCCATAATGTTGAATTTGCATAGAGATTTTTGCAGCATAGATTCTTTAGGAAAGGGCAGGCTAGCATAGATTCTTTAGCAAGGGCAGCTAGCAGAGATTCTTTAGGAGAGAGCAGGCTAGCAGCGATCTTTTAGGAGAGGGCCGATACCGCGTTCAAAATTCAGGCTCAGAAAAATTTCCTTCAAATCCAGACTACGGTCCCTGATCGATAACCCATAAAACCCTTCGGTGCATGACAAATCCGGCATGTGTGTATCGGCACAAATATGCGTGTGAGCTATATTTGCGCCTGGCGGTGGTCGAGCCGGCCGATACCACCTTCTCACCCCCTTCAAAAGCATGCATTCCAGATTGTTCCGCATATTTTTCTGACCATCCCCGGGTTTGATAGGCCTCGGCGGGTGGGTGTGAGTCAAAATTTTGAGCATGCGGGGCTGTAAACGAAAAAAAATGGAATTTTCAGAAAATTCAGATTTTGAGGGCAGAGGCAGGCCAGCAGGGATTCTTGGGGAAAGGGCAGGCTAGCAGAGATTCTTTAGGAAAGGGCAGGCTAGCAGAAATTCTTTAGGAAAGGGCAGGCTAGCAGAGATTATTTAGGGAAAGGGCAGGCTAGCAAAGATTCTTTACAAAAGGTCCAGTTATGCGAGCAACAAAAGCCGAACCAAAAATTCTCTGAGGTCATCCGCCCACCCATTTTTATGCCTCCCAAAAGCTTAATGGTGATGCGGCATGCCTTTGTGTGTTAGCTAGTATGCGAGAGTTCAGAGTAGCGATTAACTTTAGGCGGGCAAGGGGGAGGCTCCGCAAGGCGTTATTAAGAGCTTTTTCTAAGCCAGAAATCGAAAGATGCGAAAAACGGATGCGCTAGAAACATAGAAAAGTCAAAATCGATATTATTCTTTGTAGATTCCGCGACGTTACCGCTCCCAGTTTATAGCTAGCACAAAAATAGATAAAATAAGGCTTTGAATACCGGAAAAACCCGTAAAGCCCGCCGTCCTTGTTTGCGCTTTCCACACCCTAGCCTTGCGGTTTTGGCGCGAACCGATTTCTCACGCGTCGCCACTACTTTTTGCGGCGCTGGGGCAATCGGCATAGGGGAAAGCCACAAGGAGGTGGATAGTTCGGACGATTAAAGGGAGGCGACACAGCCAAAATACCGGAAAATGCCGACAACCAAAATCACGACTAGGAAAATACCGACAGCGATAATCCCGACAAGCCAAAATACGAGAGTCGAAATCCCGAAAAGCCGAAATCTCGAGAGCCGGAATACAAGCCAAAATACCGACAACTCAAATCGCGAAAAGGAAAATATCGACAACAGAAATATTGATACGCCAAAATACCGACACGGCGCGACCCCAGAGCAGACGCAGAACTTTGCTAGATAAATTTTGTTGTAATATCGGGGTTTTGTCGGCATTTTGGTTTTGGCTGTTCCGGGATTGGCTATGAAAATTGTTGGCGTCTTGAATGTCGGTATTTTGGCGCTTTCGGGTTTAAAGACTACCAGAACGATGGAACGCGCACTGTCACCCCGAGGGTGCTGCCCCCAAGAACGCGCGGAGTGAGGCGTCATTAGTGGTACCCCGTATTGGGCAAACGCCCTCTGAGGTTTGGGGCGCCTCTGACTCTCTTCCCCACTTGGCACTGTGGTATAGTGGCTAGCGCGTCGGATTGTGGAGCGAACAATCGCGGGTTCGACCCCCGTCCGGTGCGCAACTTTCTTGCTTTCGACGGAATTTCATCGTTCTGACGGTCTTTAAAGGAACTAGGAAGGCATGAGGCATTTTTGCTGATCGCTCTCTCTCTCTCTTTCTCTCGTTCGCTCTCTTGCTTTTTCCACTTTCCGCAAGAATTATTTAGGTTTATCATTTTTCGTTGGTCCCTCCTGGTCCCCCAATCCATAACCCAGTACATCAAATTTTTAATTTCCTGATTCCACGTAAGCAGGGATGTAGCGGAGGGGATCGGATTCCGGTCACTTTTTGCCCGTTTTATCCGACCGTTCCGAGTTGGTCGTTCCGGTTGCTCGGATTCCCGGGCAAGGACGCTATAAGCCCCGGATTTTCGTAGGCACTTGGCCGTGGTTGGTCGACAAAAACTGTTTGCTCAGGAATCAACAATTTCAGGGGTTACCGTAATCGGTTGGTCGGATTGACCTGGATACGGTGGAAGTAGGGGTTCAATTTCCTTATTAAATCGTGTTTTATTGCAACCTGGAAGCGAGAGAGGGCGAAAGAGAGTGATAGAGCGAGAGGGAGAGAGAGCGGAAAAGAGAAAGAGAGAGAGACAGAGAGATAGGGTTTATGTTTTCTCCGATTAAATTTCCATATTTTCAGTTCCCGTATTTTCACGTTTTCGCAACAAATTCTCCGAAATTCCGCAACGCTCCGCCGTGACGACTCGGCTAATATTCGTCCCCCTGGGTATTCAAATGGCACGTGGCCGGGGCTGTAGCGTGGATAATTAACGTGCTCGGCTAGCTTACCGTAATCCCTAGAACAAATGCCGGACCAGAAATCGTAATCATGCGTTTTCGGCTCGTTAAAACGTCGGCTTTTTAGGAAGGTGCAGGCTAGCAGAGTTGCTTTAGGAAAGGGCAGGCTAGCAGTGATTCTTTAGGAAAGGGCAGGCTAGCGGACATTCTTTAGGAATTTCCCAATTTTTGTTGGTCCCTATTTTCCGGTTTCTATAATCCGCCACCCCCACCACCCTCACCGCCAGACTACCGTACCCCACCCAAAACGCCCGGTTCAAAAAAAAAAATTAATTGCCAATTAGGGTTGACCTCGAGCAGGTGCCCGAATCCATAATTGCACAAGTCAGCCGCCTTCATTATTTCTCGGAGTTCCAACAATCGACTTCAACCACTTGCAACTTGAATTTTTCCGCCGAACAGTTGCGCGCCCGGCGAAAAAGTTTGTCATCTGCCGCTGGCCGAACTACTTCAGGCCATTCAGGTGGAGTTCAACGAAAAAGCGTGATAAACAGGGAGTTGGTGCTGATGTTGGGACACGAGATGAGCTTCTTGAGGGATCTCTGCTGGGCTGCCCACTTCAAGTGCGATTTTTACCTCAATTTCCCCGAAGCGGGCGCTTCACACTGGGATTTTCGGAATTTGCATACAAAACTGCATCGGAAACGGCTTTTGAACATTTTTTTTCCAGCGGGACTAAGAAACAGAACCTTTTCTGATCGTTGCTGCCCCCTCGCCAGTTCCGATAGACTGCCAGGGCTGTTTTGACCTCAATTTGCCCCAGAGCAATCCGTTTTTACTATTATTTTCGGAATCTGCATCCAAAACTGCATCGGAAACGGTTTTCGAATAATTTTTAAAGCGACAGAACTGAGAGACAGCGAGAGAAACATCTTGCCGTATCCTACCGTAGTTGGCGGGGCTTCAACTGATCGGTGGGCAGACCTCAATTTTTCGCCCGTCTTTCACATCACCCCGATCCGAAAAAATCTAAAAATTACTCCAAATTTGGATGTGTACAGATTGTGAGGGTTTCTAGGCTACGACCCCCTAATTGCCCGGCCCCGACGCTGCTCACCCAACGACCCCCCGAAAAATGCCGGAAAATCCCTGAACTTTGATTGTGTTTCGCGAAATTTTTTGGCGGCTTTTTTGGCGCGGAGATCGCGAGATTGGAGATGGGATTATTTCGAAAAACACGGCAATCTGGTGGCTGAAAATAAGGAAAAATGCGGGATTTTGTTTACCTGCAAAACATGGGCGGATTAGTTTTTGGAAGATGACTCGGCGGTAGGTGTGCTGAAAGAAGAATGTATTTGTAAGGGAGGCTAGGAAAGATAATTTGCGAATCATTGAACTGATTTGCGAGGCAGGCTAGCAGAGTTCATTTGGGAAAAACTAAGATTATTGGCAAGGCAGGCTAGCCGAGTACACTTGGGAAACATCAAAATTCTTCGAAGGGCAGACTAGCAGAGTTGCTTGGTAGGCAAGCCAGCAGAGATTCTTGCGGAAAATTCTCGCGGTACAGTGGGTTACCTTTTTGGCCGCTTTAACAGGTCTCAGCACTTCCAACTTCCAACTTATTACTTCTTTGTTTCCCGCACGTTGTGTCCATTTTTCTGCTGCTTTTGAATGAACGTAGGCGTCCCACAGCGATCCTCGGGGGTCTAATGGCATTTTTTGCCGCAGATTAAATTCCTAGATTTAATTTTCCGGCCGTTGCTGCAACGGAAAACACGTGGGCGTATTTCAGGTAAAACAGTGACAAGGAAGAACGTAAATTAATTATCGGATTCTGCGGTTCATCTCTCTCTCCCTCTCTCTCTCTCTCTCTCTCTCTCTCTCTCTCTCTCTCTCTCTCTCTTTCTCTCTCTTTCTGGTTCTCTCTCTGCCTCTCTCTCGCACGCTCGCTCTCTCTCTATCCATACATTTGTGGCCTAAAGGTGTTGTAAAGTGTCAAAGAATTCACGCGAGCCTGCCCTTTCCTAAAGAATTTTTGCTTACCTACCCTTTCTTAAAGAACTCTGCTAGCCTGCCCTTTCCTAACGAATCTATGCAAGCCTGC